CAGGTGGTGTATCATATCCTGAGGGGGTCGGTGGATGGGCAGGTGGTGTATCATATCCTGAGGGGGTCGGTGGATGGGCAGGTGGTGTATCATATACTGAGGGGGTCGGTGGATGGGCAGGTGGTGTATCATATACTGGTGTTGCTTTACCCTAATGCCTGGTCCTCTAGTCACAGGAGAGACCCTGATAGCCTAATGCAGAATGAGCTGGATCACCATCTCCTAGTCCCTGCATGGGGAGCAGAGTTTCTTTATGAACCAGCCTTCTGACAAAGCAGCAAAAGAAAGGCTTTTTGACTGTATCTCTTCTCCTTTCTTGAACAATAAAAGAAATATCATTGCTTCTGTTGTTCTGTTCTCTCTACTTTAAAAGGTTTTGAGTGAGAGTCAAGTGCTAGTGGCTCATGCCTATAATCCTAGCTACTCAGGAGACTGGGATCTAAGGTTATAGTTCAAAACCAGCCTGGGCAGGAAATCCCAGAAAGTGCATCTATGGCTCAAGTGATAAAGTGCTAGTCTTGAGCAAAAAAAGCTCAGAGGTAGTGCTCAGGCCCTGAGTTCAAGTCCCAAAACAGTGCCTGCATGCATACACACACACACACACACACGAGTTGGGGATGAGAGACAGCCTAACTGTCCTAATTCTAGTAATCATTGATAATACTATAAATGCTTAATAATTAGGAAAATATTCATGATATCATAGAAGAGATAAGATGATCGGTTGTCTAGTATGAGACTGCTTTTTTCAGAGGACATTTAGGTTGAGAAAAGGACCAAATATAGGCCTAGGAATGGGGATGCTTTTAGTATTTAGTATGTTTTCTAAATGTCCTATTGCAAGCACATGACATTTGAAATAGGGGAAAAATACAATATCAGAAATTTTTAATTGAAAATCATCTTTTGAAAGAGACTTACAAAGTTAAAATTTGAAAGAACTTTTGAAGTTAACTTTGGTTCTGATGATAGTGCTTTTATCTTGGAGGGAAAAATGAATCCCAGCTTAAAGTGGAAAATCAACTCAGAGTCACAAAAGCAAGTGACTCTTTCAGTAAATGTCATGAGGCAGGCTGGGAATGTGGCTTAGTGGTAGAGTGCTTGCCTCACATGCATGAAACCCTGGGTTCGATTCCTCAGTACCACAAATGCAGAAAAAGCTGGAAGAAGTGTTGTGGCTCAAGTGGTAGAGTGCTAGCCTTGAGTAAAAGAAGCTAAAGGACAATACCCAGAGTTCAAGCCCCAGGACTGGCCCCCCAAAAAATGTCATGAGTCTTGTCTCTGATACACAAGATTATCAGTCATAAACAAGACTTTTGTGACATACCTGAGACATTACCCATAATTCTGTGTCTCCGATTAGAACGTCAGGTCAGTGATTGACTTCAGCAAGCAGTTATGTCCTAGGAAGCTTGACTGATGCTGATCATGATTTTATTCTGTGCAGTCACCTGACTCTATTGTATTTCAAATATATTTGAGCCTAAAGAAGATTGTTAAGATCAAGTCTCCTTCATCTTTACAGCCTATAAATTTTTTTTTGTGATTTTGATAAAGAAAGAAGTCATTCGAGATTTGTGTTGTTTTTATGCAGCTGATGGAAAATGTCTGGTGTCCATTGGTTTGGATGATTTTCACAGTATTGTATTTTGGGACTGGAAAAAGGGAGAAAAAATAGCCACAACAAGGTAAGAAGCTGCTGGGTTCCTATGATATTTTGCTGATAGCATGCTTTGGTAAAAGAGGATAGCTTTCATTTCCTGCTAAGCTTTCATCTTCACACTCAGGTGGAAATTCACATAGAAAGCTTTCACACCCAAGCAAAAACATCACACTTGTTTTCTGGTGCCAAACCTGATGTACACCAGTGAATGTTTGTTGTAGAGAATTAGAAAATTCTGGAAGGGTTCCCAGAGAGCTCTTCATCACTTTGCTTTCAGGCATCCGGTGTATTACCTCCACCAAAGCTTTTGATCAGCAGCAGACCAGCAGCTTTCCTCAGGTTCATGCCTGGCCCCTTGTTTTCCCCCTGTCTTTGCATCTGTGAAGGATTGTCAGTGTCACTCGTCAGAAGCACCATTTGTCATAGGCGGCAGCATGCAGCAAAAGAGGCCCCGCCGTGTGCATCTGCCACTTGCTTTCCGAGCAGGCAAATTGTTTCCCTAATCTCCCCCATCTTATAAATAGACTCTTCAAGACCAACTGCCGTTTATAGCCCACCTGTCCTCCCTCGCCCCGGCCTCCTTCCCTGCTGAATCAGCGCTAAGTCTGAACTTGACTTTCTACGACTTAACATCCAGCCCAGCCACGTGCCTGGCCCAGGTCAGAAGGCAAGATCATGGGGCAGCCGCCATCCAGCCAGACAACTTGTTGCCCAGGCCTCTGAAATGCCTCCTGCCTCCCTCTTCCTCACATTACCAGCGCCCTCCTGTGTGTTTTGCAACATCAAAACATGTTTAAATTCATGGTCTCGAGGCCCAGAGTTCACGTTGTAAGTTAATATTGTCCTCTCCAATGCTAAATTGGGGAAATGCCGTTTTGACAGCACAGTTTCATGAATGAAGATCTACACATTGTTGGAGACAGTGGATGGAGCCTTAAGGACTGCAGCTGACCTTCTTAGGAGAAAAAGAGAAGCTTTTCTGATGACTACTCTCTCGAGCTGAAATTCTTGGCAGAGGGGCAGCTCATAAATCTGCCCGCACAAGTGCTTTCCTGCTGGCCCCACCCTTTCCTGCACACCGCGCAGCGCACACCGCGCAGGACTCTGACTCAGCCCCTACTCAGAACTCTGCTTTCCTCCTGCACAAAGTCCTGAGTTTTAGTTTATATTTTTAATAGCGTACTACCTGCATCATGAGTAATCTGAGGAAAAGCAAGTGCCTGATTTTAAAAGACAGAAACGCAACTTTCCTGCTAGAAAATCCTCTGCCACCGAGGCTGATCCAAGTTATTTGAGTGTTAATGGAAACCGAAGAAAGAATTCTTTCTTGTTTTCTTTTGGATGGTAAAGACATTTGAGTTCAAGACCTCACACTTGCTAGGCAGGCAGTGTTCTGTTGAACCAAGCTGATAGCATGCTCTTCTCTCTCTCTCTCTCTCTCTCTCTCTCTCTCTATATATATATATATATATATACACACATACATATATATATTACACACATATACATACTTTTTAATTTATTGGTTATTTTTGAAACATCTTGCATTCTACCCAGGCAAACACTTGGACTGTGATCCTCCTTTTTTTTTTTTTTTTGGCTTCCTATCATGGCTAGGATGACAGTTACAGGTATATCTTGCATACTTGTTGGATGGTATTACTTATATTTAACTAGCACAAAATAACCTAACATATCTTAATAGTGCATTTTTATGACCATTATCTTAATAATGCAGTTCACACTTAGAATTGTTTCTGAGGCCTGTGAGCTATTTCCAAAACAAGAAACCTGGTGAAAGAACTGTCTTCAGAGAATATTTGGCAATCATGGCGTTAGCCAAGGGCTCTTTGCCAGGAAGAAAGTCAGGGACTGGTAACTCACTTTGGACAAATACATACTAAATGTAACTGCGATTAGACATATTTATAAAAATACCTACTTGTATAATATTGACCATAGTAAACAGTTTCATAAGTACTTAAATTACCAACAAAACAATTAAGCAAAAATTCCATGTATGGCCTTAACTGACAGTGCTGAGCTAAATAAGCCAGGAGTGGTAATACATGGCTCTAATCTCAGAACTTGGAACACTGAGGCAGAAGGATCTTGAGTTTGAGGCCAGCCTGTATTACCTGCTGAAACCCTGTCTCCAGAGAACAAAACCACAGCATTGTGAGCATGGCTCAGGTGGTAGAACACCAGTTCATGAGCGAATGCATCAGATCCCAAGTTTGAGCCCCAGTCTTGGAAAAAACAAACAAAAGCTCCCAAGGCCTTAAAAAAGTGACAAGGAAGCAATACTTTATGGAATGGCCTTGCCTGCATTCCAGGAGTCCTCTTCACTTTTCTAGTGGGCCTAACTCATGGTCAGAAACAATTGACCCTTCACTTTGTACCTCTGCATCACAGGTGTTGCCCACTGTGCCTTCTGCAAGGTTGGACTGACACCTGCCCCTGCCGGTATACTGAGCAGCAGTGGTTTCCACATCCAGGGTGGGACCCGTCTAACCCTGAGATGGCGTCTCAAACTGTGCTGCCCACTCCTGTGTCTGTGTGCTGGCAGCGTGGCCTGCCCTCGTGTGTGACATGGTTAAGGAAATGTGTTCTTTCAGCCCAGAGGAATGAGAGAGATACAGAAATGGCAGCACTGACATCTTATAAGATCTCTAAGAGACTTGAGCCAACCTTTGTTAGCAGTCTCTTTACACCTTTGCTAATTTAGATAAGTGATTGCAGTCATATCATTAGAAATGGGGAGAGAGAGAGAGAGAGAGTATCTAGGGTTTGAACTTAGTGACTTGCATTTTGAAAGCCAGGAGAAGTAGACTTTTTATGAAATCTTATGAGTTATTTGTATTTTAGGCCTGATTGGCCTTGGACTTCAATTCTCCTGACTTCAGCCTCCCAAGTAAGTAGCTAGGATTACCAGGGTTTGAACTTGAGACCTCATTAGCAGGTGCTACCAGGGTTTGAACTTGAGACCTCATTAGCAGGTGCTCTAGCACTTCAGCTTGCAGTGGTAGCAATCTTTGCTTTAGTTATTTTTTTTTCCGGATACAATGTTACGCCTTTGCCTTTGGCCATCCTGAGATGGTGGTCCTCCTCTCTCCACTTCCTAAGTATCTGGGATTACAGGCACACACTAATACTCTGAAATAGCAGCTCACTCACATTTTACCTGGGCTGGCTTGGGTCCTCTTATCTCACTGTAGCTGGGATCAAAGGCATGAGCCACTCTGCATCAAGTATCCATCTTCACTTTTGACTCTTAAAGATATAACTGGAGAAAGCCTTCAAATCAATCCCACCTCCTCCTCTTCCAGCTTAATAGGATCCAGAGACACTGTTTCTCTCTCTCATTTTACTTTTTGTTATAAAAATGCTCAAAAATTACACAAAAGTGGAAGGAATAGTAAATGGAACACCCTTGTGTAGCAGTCACCCAACTACAATAATTACCAGCATCCCACAAATCTCTCTTCAGTTGTCACTCTTTTTCTCTGTCTCTCTGTATCTGTCTCTATCTGTCTCTGTCTGTCTGTCTGTCTCTGGTCTCATATATCTGTAATCGTAGCTTGAGAATAGGAGGTTTAAGGTTCAAGGCCACCTGGCAGAAAACTTAACAGGTCCCTTATAAATCCATAGCTAATGGCTATGGCAGGTTGAGGTTGAGAAGATCTTGATCCGAGACCAACATGGGCAGAAAAGTCCATGAGACTCCATCTCCCTGGGAGTAGTCTAGACACAGTGGTGCACGCCTGTGATCCCAGCAAGATGAGAAGCCTAAAAGTAAGCAGATGGTGACTCAAGTGTGATACCAGGTGGGAAGCAAGGCTCTTTCTAAAAATGACCAGTGAAAACTAGAGCAGAGGTGTGGCCCAGACTACAAGCATGAGTTCATGAGTGTAAACCCTAAGTACAGCCAAAAACAGAAAAGAAAGAAAGGAAATCTCAAAACATTGTGTCGTTGGATCTGAACATGCTTAGCTGGACATTTCTAACTGGAAAGGGGCAGTTTTAGGAATTGTCGTGCTGTTATTATTAAGTAAGGAGAAATAAAATCTTTAGGACTGAGTCTTTTTGTCCAAAATTAGAGAAATAGGACTTTTTAGGTTGGTTTGTTGTTGTTTCGTGGTACTGGAGTTTGAACCCAGGGCCTTGCATTTGCTAGGCAGACATTTAGCCACTTGAGCCCAGCACTTTTTGCTTTCATTATTTTTTGGAATAAGGTCTCACATGTATTCCTGGCCAGTTTATATCATGACTTTTCTGTTATAGCTGAGAAGACAAGTACATGCCACTCCACACAGTTTTTTTTAAAGATGTAAAATACCTTATTATTATTATTATAAGGGTGGTATACAGAGGTGTTACAGTTAAAGGTCAAGTAATAACTACATTTCTTTCTAAACAATGTCATCCCTTCCCTCACTGTCTACTAGTTCCACCCCCCATCTCTACCTACAACTTGTATAGTTCACTTTCTTTCTTCCTTCCTTCCTTCCTTCCTTCCTTCCTTCCTTCCTTCCTTCCTTTTCTTTCCTTCCTTCCTTCCTTCCTTTTCTTTCTTTCTTTCTTTCTTTCTTTCTTTCTTTCTTTCTTTCTTTCTTTCTTTCTTTCTTTCTTTCTTTCTTTCTTTCTTCCTTTTCTCTCTTCCTTTTTGTCAGTTGTGGGGCCTGAACTCTGGGCCTGGGCACTGTCCCTTAGCTCTTTAACTCAAGGCTAGCCACAGTGCCACTTCTGGCTTTTTCTGCTTTTGTGGTGCTGAGGGATCGAACCCAGGGCCTCATGCATGCAAGAAAAGCACTCTACCACGGAGCCACCCTCCCAGCCCTGTATAGTTCATTTTCAACATGTGTCCAATTGCCTTAGTGTGTTCAAGGTAATGTTTAATGTGAATAGTTATAAAATTTTTTCCTGACCATATTGAGTGCCACTAAGTAAAAATAATACTTTTGAGTTTACACACACACACATACATACACACACAAACATACATGTGCACACACACACACATACACAAGTGTCATGGGCAGGTAAATGGTGGTTCCATGTTCTGCTCTTAAAGAAAGGAGGATGTACCTGGTGCTGGTGGCTCACTCCTGTAATCCTAGCTACTCAGGAGACTGAGATCTGAGGATCACGGTTCAAAGCCAGCCCCGGCAGGAAAGTCTGTGAGACTCTTATCTCCAATAAACCACTAGAAAACTGGAAATGGTGCTGTGGCTCAAGTGGTAGAGCGCTCACTTTGAGCTGAAGAGTTCAAGCCCCATGACCAACAAACAAACAAACAAACAAAAAGGAGGACGGCATACAATCTGTGTGGAGAACCAGCCTGTGTATAATTAGCTTTTTAAAAAATTCAGGTTTCTCAGGAAACAGGAAGATCCAAGGGCTCACGCTGAAGTATCCATTAATTCCTGTGTTATTGTGTTGAGTGTCTCTTAAATAATAAATGAGTGTTACATTTTTGTCAAGTATTTTTCAGCCTCTGAAAATAGTAATATTAAAATAGTTATACATTAATAGTAATACATTAACACAATGAGTTGTATTATTATTTAACTCCTTGATTTACTTTGAGCTACCCTTGCATTTGGTCCTAATGATGCATTATTTTAAATGTTCATGTTGATTTTCTGATTTGCATTCATGTGGGCTATTATGCTTAACATACACAGAAGCAATGAACCAAATAACCTTAAAAGGGATTCAGGAAAGGCGTGCTCTCTGTCCTAGCTGGCTCCTGGACCACGATCTGCCTATTTTTGGCTCCCTGTTGTAGCTGAATGAAAGGCGTGTTCCACCCCACCAGGAATTCCATGCAGTCCCATCGTGGTAGCATTGATTTTTGTCTTATGGAAGCATTCTGGTGCATTGTAAATATTTCATTAATTTACACAACGCATAACTACATAGCCTTTAGTGTCAGTATTGGGGTAAGAAAAGAGGACAGGAAAGCCACACTCATCACTTCAGTATGGGCCCCTGTTCGCATTATAAATCATGCTCTAACTTGGTTGTACTTTTTGGTATGCTTCATGAAAGTCACACCAGATGCATGCTGTTAATCAAACACTGTATCACCACTTCCATCCACACTGGTTATTTTCCCTCTTTGTCTGTTTCAGGGGACATAAGGATAAAATCTTTGTGGTGAAGTGTAACCCACACCATGTGGATAAACTGGTCACAGTTGGGATAAAGCACATCAAGTTCTGGCAACAAGCAGGTACTGTTGTGGGGCCTGTTCACTTCTGGATTGATAGTGTGGCCCTTTGCAAAGGGTACCTGGCCACTATGAGGACCCCTGTGCCAATTAAGCTAAAACGGAACAGAAATAAATATTCCCTCCCATGTTACTTTGGACTGTTTAATGTCTAAGCTATGAGGCTATATGGTGCTATGCACTTATCAGTATCTAGAATGCTTTGGGAAATAGTCTCCTGGGAAAATGATTATTTTTATCTTGAGTTGTCTGGTGCTGAAAGCAATAATTATGGTGGACTGCTAAGTAGGAAATAATCATTTTGGTTGGGTGAATAAAGTTTCCAATATTTTGAGGGTTCTTTTATTAATCTGTCATTGCATTTAGTGCATGAATTCAACCCTGCCCCTGAGCACAGAAAGTAGTTAAAATAAACACTTGTGGATCACATGCTGCTGGTGGCAATGGGAAAGTAGGCATGGGAAAACATGTAAGAATAATTTGCCCTCGTCACTAATAAATCAGACTTGTTATGGTAATCACGTCTGAATTATTACATCAGCTCAATCATTTTTTTTTCTTTTTGTGCTGGTACTGAACTCAGGGCTTAAACTCGGGGCTTAGGTACTTATCCTTAGCTTTTTCGCTCCAGGCTGGCACCCTACCACTTGAGCTACAGCTCCATTTCTGGTATTTTGGTGATTAATTGGAGATAAGAGCCTCTCTGACTTTTCCGCTCCAGCTGGCTTCAAACCAGGATCCTCAGATCTCAAACCTCTGTGTAGCTAGGATTGTAGGCATGAACCACATGGCTCATTTTGTGCATCTTTGTGTACTCACGATGTTAACACACTGGCTGTTCATTGAAGATGGTCATACTACCTGATCATAGGAAGTGTCTGCTTTTTAAAAAATACTGAGTGTTCTTGGTCTTCTCCAGGTGGAGGCTTCACCTCCAGGAGAGGTGTTTTTGGAAGCGTTGGCAAACTAGAGACGATGATGTGTGTTTCTTATGGGCGAATGGAAGATCTCGTGTTCTCGGGAGCCGCCACTGGTGACATTTTTATCTGGAAAGATGTTCTGCTCCTAAAGACAGTGAAAGCTCACGACGGGCCCGTGTTTGCTATGTATGCGCTGGATAAGGTGCAGTGTGCTATTCAGAAAGGGTTTCTGGAATTTTAGGATGTCTTTAGAAGGACCATTAAGAGGATGCCTGGGTCTAAAATTAGTTCAGTTTAAGTTAGGAAGTAGCTGTCATGAAGCTCCAGTCAAAGGAAGATAAAGAGAACACACAAATATTTGTATCATTTCTTTTTCATCAATAATCATTTCCTTATTTACAATTTCTCTGCATTGCTGGCTCTAATCCCTAGGAGACTATTAGGAAGTACAGGGATAAGGCAAAGTGTAGTGGCTCATGCCTACAATCTCAGCTACTTGGAAAGTGGAGACAGGAAGATCACATCGTAAGGCTAACCCTAGCCAAAAGCTAGTGAGACTTTATCTCTAATAACAAGCTATACATGGTGAATCATGCCTATAATCTCTAGCTGCTCTGCGGTATAGGTAGGAGGATCATAGACCCAGGGTGATCCAGGGAGAAAGCATTAGACCCTATTTGAAAATTAACTAAAATACAAACAAACAAAAACCTGGAGGCATGCCACAAACAGTAGAGTATTTACTTAGAAAGCTCAAAGCCCAGAGTTAAAAAACATAGTACTGACTGGGCATTGGTGGCTCACTCCTATAATCCTAGCTACTCAGGAGGCTGAGATCTGAGGATTGTGTTTCAAAGCCAGCCAGGCAGGAAAGTCCATGAGACTCTGATTTCCAGTTAACCACCAGGAAACTGGAAGTGGCGCTATGGCTCAAGTGGTAGAGCGCTAGCCTTGAGCTGAAGAACTGAGAGACAGCGCCGAGGCTCAGAGTTGAAGCCCCATGACTGACAAAAAAAACCCACACAAAAAAAGTGTGAGTAAATCTAATATATAGTTGAGCAATGTCTTTTGCCTTAGTAGCACAATGAGCAGATACCAAGTGATTTACTTCTTGTCTCACACATCAACTAGTTATGATGAAAGTGATTTTCATAACCAGTTTGCTCCTGTGTAGACAGGTTCAGCTTCACTGAAAGTGACAGAATGAGCTTCTCATAAACATAATACTGGATACAACAGAATAGGAGGTCAACAGTTATAGCTCTATGTTGTTTAGGAAATGACAAGGAAAGAAGCCTATATTTTTCAATACTGATGCAATGTTTTTGTTAATATAACTTTAATTGTGTGTGTGTGTGTGTGTGTGTTAGTTCTGGGGCTTGAACTCAGGACCTAGGCACTGTCCCTTAGCTTTTTTGCTCAAGGCTAGTATTCTACCACTTGAGATACATCTCTACTTCTGGCTTTTTTGGTGCTTAATTGGAGATAAGAGTCTCGTGGGCTTTCCTACTTGGATTGGCTTCAAACTGTGATCCTCAGATCTCAGCTTTCTAAATAGCTAGGGTTATAGGCATAAGCCACCAGCACCTGGCTTTTAACTTTTATTTACTTTTTTTTTCTTGAGATGGAATCTTGCAGTGCACCCTTGATTGTTTAGCCTCCTGCTTCTACCTCCTAATACTGGGATTACAGGCATGGCCTCCCACACCTGGCTCTTCCTAAATATTTTCAGTCTGTAGTCACAAGATTCCATAGATGCAGAAGGCTAACTGGAATAACAATAATTCATACTGAATTGCATTAAATTAAAAGCTTGAAAATGCAATGGAAAACTTAGTACTTCTCTTAACAACAACAGTAACACACACACACACACACACACACACACAGAACTCTTCCAAGAACAGTTAGTATATAGGATAAATTTCCAGAGAAGAAAACTATTTCTAGAATTAAGAAATTGTAATCTTGGACTAGAATAAAGGTTGTAGTTTTTTAAAAGTCCAACATGTCAAGCATTTTAACATGAAACAAGTTGATTTTATTATACAAATACTGATGTTTTCTCTTGGGGGAAACCATTTAGTTATTGAATATTACACAGGCTTCAGTGTGTGTGTGAGACATTAGGGGTAGAATATAGGGCCTCCTGTGCTATTCAGGCCTCTACTATTGAGTCCCTACCCCAACACTTTCCTTTTTCTTTTTCTTTTGTTTGTTTGTTGGTCGTGGGGCTTAAATTCTGGGCCTAGGTTGTCCCTGAGCTCTTCAGCTCAAGGCTAGCACTCTACTAGGAGATAAGAATCTCCAGGACTTTCCCGCCAGGGCTGCCCGCAATCCTCAGATCTCAGCTTCCTCAGTAGCTAGGATTATCAGCGTGAGCTACCGGCTCCAACACTTTTTTAAAAAAATTGTGATGCTCACTCCAGTTCATCTGGTTGGTGTTTGTGAGGTACCGGGAGCTTTGCTGATGTTTGTGGCTTTCCCTGTCATTTGGGAACTCATATTCAGGAAAGAGGAGAAAAGGCCCAGAACCAGCCAGCCATGGGCCAAGGGCTGACCGGTGATCTAAATGTCTATGAATAGACACACAGTAACAAAACAAACAAACAAACAAAGAAAAAAAGAAAAAGAGAAAGAAAAGAAAAAAAAGAAAGTGCTTAATATTAATGGATGCTTCTAGAAAAAAATACCATACGAAGATTGTTAGCTCCAGGTTTTTAAGTCTTAGGCAGAAAATATACCTAAGGCTACCTTCCCCCGGAGGAGTCCTGTTGGGTGGGTGACTAGTTGGTGTCTGGGATGTGTCTGTAATTCTTCCTTGTGTACCTTTCTAGGGTTTTGTCACAGGTGGAAAGGATGGAATTGTGGAGCTCTGGGATGACATGTTTGAACGATGCTTAAAGACCTATGCCATTAAGAGAGCAGCATTGTCAACAAGCTCAAAAGGTGCTACCTCCAACTGTCCAATGGGAAGCTTTCTGTTTTCAATATGCTACACGTCCCAGTAGTAGCTTATTGCCAAGTCAGTTCTCCTCCTTCCTTCCCTGGTGGAAATGCCAACACCACTTCCTAGTATATGGTGCTTCAGGGCTAGAAGAATGAAACATATACTAACTATCAGTGGCACTAAATACAACATTTCCCCTCTCAGGTCTACTTTTGGAAGATAACCCTTCAATTCGTGCCATCACTCTGGGCCATGGCCATATCCTGGTGGGGACCAAAAATGGAGAGATTCTGGAAATTGATAAGAGTGGCCCAATGACGCTGCTTGTACAGGTACTGTGTGTGCATGTTGTGAGACACAGTTCCCCTTAGGACTGTGGCTGGGTTGTGCACGGGGTGTGTGGTCTTCTGCTGCTGCTATGTGATGTGTTTCACAAACCAGCAACAAAACTGGTTTGTCATCTGTTCCTGTGGGTCAGGAGTCTGAGCAGGGGCCCGCTCAGGCTATAGTTCAAATTCATCCTTGTGATTGTAGGATTGAGGCTTTCCTTCTTGCTGGTTGCTGACCAGAAACTGCCCTCAGCTGGTGCAGGCTACTCAAAATTCCTTGACATATAGCATTTCTCATTGTCAACAAGGAAGGAAAACTTACCCATTGTCACAAACAGCAGGGTCCTCTTCTTCACACACAGCATCATGAACTTTCTGTCACTTGTACCATCTTTTGTTGTCTGGAAACAAGCCACAGGTCATGTCTCAAGTGAAGGGAGGTGATTGCACCAGGCTCTGAGAACCAAGAGGTTCATGAAGGTCACCCCACAACCCTGTCATTGCACTCCATCCTCCAGACACTGAAAAATACCCCCTCCCACAGTTCCCACAACCCTATCAATGGCAATACCTTCTCTCATTGAGAATCTTCTCACCCAAATTAGGTCTAGACATGTGTGGGGCTCCTGAGATGATACCATTTTCCTCCCTGTATGTCCGTGTCTCTGTCTGTACATCTGTCTGTCCCTCCCTCCCTCTCCTTCTCCCACTCCCTCTCCTTCTCCCCTTTTCCGCTCTCTCTCTCTCGCTCTCTTTCTCTCTCTCTTGCTCTCTCCTCTCTCTCTGGTGAGAGGAGATAGTTATCTGCTCCTCCCATACTGAGACACAGCCTCCTCACTCCACCCTTCCATCCAGAATCATAAGTAGATAAAATGAGATTCAGAAGCTGAGTAATGATAAGATCTCCCTTGAGGGAGGGGGGCTGGGTATGGACCTGGGTAGAGGTTTCTGTCTGCTGTGGTCATAGGTGGGCCTTACTTGCAGGTGAGTAGTCAGAATCAAAGTTTAGGGCCCAGCTCAGGCAAAACATTAGTGAATCCTATCATAATTTTTGTTTTTTAGAATGTTTAATTGTTATAATAAAGGTAGTGTACAAAGGGGATACAGTTACATAAGTCAGGTAATGAGTACATTTCTTTTTGGACAGTATCACCCCTTCCCTCCCTCTGTCCCATTTTCCCCTCCCATCCCCACCCACCAGCTGTAGAGTTCATTTCAATATAGTATCTAGTGAGTACCACTGCTGCATTTCTTCCTCTTTGACCCTCCTATTCTGTGGCTTCCCTTGCCCTCCCAAAGACAGGTAAATGAACAAACAATGCAAAAAGAAAAGAAGCCAAAAACAGCAAGAAAGAAAAAACCCCTCTTGTTTCCATTTCCTGAACTTCATTTTGATGAATATTATTTATATGATCAGAAGCACATAGACATCACACCTTTGGATTCCTCCTTTGGTCTCACTGTGTGTGATGTCTAGAGTATGAATGTCTGTACAATTTGCCATGCCCCAGTGTGGGTCTAGCTTCTGCATATGAAAGAAAACATTCACATTTTGTCTCTCTGAGCTTGGCTTACCTCACTTAACATGATTTGTTCTAGATCCATCCATTTTCCTGCAAATGACATAATATTATTTCTAATGGCTGTGTAAAATTCTGTTGTGTATAGATACCATTGTTGGCCCCATTCATATATTGTGGGGCATCTGGGCTGTTTCCCAGCTATCTTGGCTATTGTGAATAGTGCAACAATGAACATGAATATACAAGTGTCTTTACAGTATCCTGGCTCTTGATGTTCTGGGGAGATGTCCAGGGGTGGTATGGCTGGGTTTTAGGGAAGATCCATGTTTAGTTTTTTGATGAATCTCCAGACTGCTGTCCAGAGTGGTTGTACTAGTTTACATTCCCACTAACAATACAATAGTGTTCCTCTTCCCCCACATTCCTACCAACATCTGTTGTTCAAATTCATGATTTTGGCCAATCTAACTGGAGTGAGATGAAATTTCACAGTTGTTTTGATTTGCATTTCCTTTATGGCAAGAGATGATGAGCATTTCCTCATATGTTTCTTTGCCATTCTTACCTCTTCTTCTGAGAAGTTTCTTCTTAGCTCCTTTGCTCATTCAGTGACCAGTTTATTAGCTTTGGGTAGAGTTGATTTCTTGAACATCTTGTTTATTTTGAATATTAGGCCTTTGTCAGATGTATTGCTTGTCAAGATCTTCTTGCAGTCTGTTGGCTGTCTTTCTAGTCTAATAACTATATCCTTGGCTGTGCAGAATCTTTTTATTTTCAAGTAATCCAGTTTGTCACACCTCTTTCCAATTTGCTGTGCCCCTGGGACACTTAAGCTTCTGCCTATGCCTGTAAGTTTTAATGTCTCTCCTATTGCCTCTTGCAGTAATTTCAAAGCTTCAGGTCTGACATTGAGGTCTTTGATCCACTTAGAGTTGATATTTGTGCATGGTGACAAACAGGGATCCACTTTTAGTTTTCTGCATATGGATGCCCAGTTTTCCCAAAACCAGTTATTGAAGAGGCTATCTTTTTTTTTGGGGGGGGGGTCCGGTTGTGGGGCCTGAACTCTGGGCCTGGGCGCTGTTCCTCAGCTCTTCTGCTCAAGGCTAGCACTCTGCCACTTAAGTCACAGTGCCCACTGCTGGCTCTTTCTGCTTATGTGGTGCTGAGGAATCGAACCCAGGGCCTCATGCATGCAAGGCAAGCACTCTACCACTGAGCCACCTTCCCAGCCCTCTTTATAAAGAACTTTATTGGTAATTTGTTAAGATTGCATTAACTTTGTATATAATGTTTGGCAATATGACATGTTCACAATATTGATTCTACCTATCTGTGAACTTGAAAAATCTTTCCATTTCCTGATATTATCTTTGATTTCTTTCTTCAGATTTTTATAGTTTTCACTATAAAGGTCTTTTGCTTTCTTGGTTAGATTTATTCCTAGATTTTTCTTTTGAGGAAAATGATGTTGTTTTCCTTATTTCCCTCTCTGCTTGTATATTGTTAGTACATAGAAGAACTACTTACTTTTTATTTTTACTTTTTGTTGGTTGTAGGTTTGAACTCAGTACCTGAGCACTGGTCCTGAGCTCTTTGGTTCAAGGTTAGTGTTCTACTGCTTTGAGCCACAGCTCCATTTCTGGGTTTTGGGTGGTTAATTGGAGATAAGAGTCTCACAGTGACTTTTCTGCCCAGGCTGGCTTCGAACCACGATCCTTAGATCTCAGCCTACTGAGTAGCTGGGATTACAAGTGTGAGCCACCAGCCCCCATCAAGTCTACTTATTTTTGTGGGTTAATTTTGTATCCTGCTACTTTTCCAAAGTTATTGATCATCTCTAAGAGCTTGGAGATGGAGTCTTTTGGGTTCTGTGGATGTAAGATTGTGCCATCTACAAATAGGGATAGTTTGAATTCTTCTTTCCCTATGTGGATCCCTTTCATGTCTTTTGCTTGCCTTACTGCTCTAGATAGTAATTCCAGAACTGTATTTAAGAGGAGTGGAGAGAGTAGACATCCTTGCCTTGTTCCTGATTTTAAAGGAAATGGTTTTAGTTTTTTTACTGTTCAGTGTAATGTTGCCTGTTTGTCTGTTGTATATAGCCTTTATTGTTTTGAGGTCTGTTCCTTCTATTCCTAGCTTCTCCAGAGCTTTTAACATGAGTAGGTGTAGAGTTTTGTTAAAGACTTTTTCTGCATCTGTAGAGATGATTGTGTGGTTTTGTCTTTGGCTCTGTTGATGTGATGCATTGCATTTATTGATTTATGTATATGAAACCAACCTTGGGATAAAGCCCACTTGATCATAATAGTGAGATCCTGTCTTAAAGAACAACTCAGGTATAGTGATATACATCTATAATCCCACCTATACAGGTGACATTGGCAGGAAGATCAGAGTTTGCATTTGGCCTGTGCAAAAACGCAGATCCTATTTGGAGAATAACTAAAGCAAAAGGAGTCCTGGGTGCAGCGCAAGTGGTAGAGTACACATGAACCTGAATCCAAACTCCATGCCAACAAAACAAAACAAAACAAAAGCACTCAAAAACACTACAGCTAATTGTGGCAGGCACCAGGATAAGAATCATGAGTTATAGTAGCCTTGAGGTAGGACCTCTAGCCTTTTTCCTTTTAAATGAATTCCTTTTTTTTCTGTCCATGGCTTATAAAATTTAAAATTATTGAAAACTGTTTTTAACCCTCAAATGTTTGAGAAATTAAGTTCCATGCATGCTATATTCATAGTTTTTCAGGATTTTTACTATAATATGATTTTTAAAGTATTGCAAGATTTAAACTTTAAAAAGAATGTATGTAGTATTCTACTATAGTTCAGGTGATTTTGTTTAAAGGTGTTTAAAGCTTGATAATGAAGGCTTTTCATCTTTTGATTCTTTACCATTCTATTCTCTATTTCTGTTGTTCTAATAGTAAAACTAACCTTGGCCATCATTTCTTGGTCACTTATTGTGTGTCAGGTTGTTGAATTGTACATTTCTCTCTCACCTTCATAACATATTTTCTCAGTTAAAAATGTTTTGTGGCTAGGTACCAGTGGCTCATGCCTATAATCCTAGCTACTCAGGAGGCTGAGATCTGAGGATCGTGATTTAAAGCCAGCCTGGGCAGGAAAGTCTGTGTAAACCACCAGAAAATTGGCAGTGACTCAAGTGGTAAAGCACTTGCCTTGAGCTGAAGAGCTGAGGGACAGTGTCCAGACCCAGAATTCAAGTCCCATGACTGACAAAAAAAAAAAATGTTTTGTGGACTCACACCTGTCATCCTAGATATGTGGCAGGCTGAGGTCAGGGGGATTGAGACCAGCCCAGGCAGAAAAGTCAGTGTTTCAGGAGAAGCTTGGTGCGGTGGTGACCCCTGCCATCCTCACTACAAAAGAAAGTGAAAAATAGGAGGATTTTAGTCCAACTCTGCACTCAGGCAGGAAGTGAGGTCATGTTTCCAAACAAAAGGGCAGTAAAGGATAGAAGGCATGGCTCAGCAGTAGAACACCTGCCTAGTAAGATCAAAGCCCTGAGTTCAAAGTCCTGGCACTTCCACACACTCACAAAAATAAAAGTGTTTTATTTATTTTATTTTAATTTCTTTTTTATTGTGAAAATACTGTACAGAGGGGTTACAATTACATGGGCAAGATAATGAGTACATTTCTTATCAAGTATTGTAGCCTCCTCCTTTGTTTCCCCTTCCCACCCCTTCCCATCCTCCCCCCAATAAAAATGTTTTATAAGTGAGGGACCAAAGGCCAGAAAATTTCTCAGTCATTGCTAAGAACTGAGGAGACAGGACTCAAACCAACATGTGTCAGACACTGGCCCTTTTACTTTGATATTCCAGGCCTTGTCTTGTCCCTGTGGATACTACAGAAAGCTGCGGGGAGCTAGTGGAGCTAGTGGAACCTTCAGTCCATTAGTCTACCATCTTTTCACCCTACCTGGCTCTGTGAGCTATCTGTTTTCCCCCTCAGTGCCTCTGGTTCCTCCTCTGCACTACCTCTTAGGTACCATTTGCTTCTAGGTAGATGCCATGGTTCCAGTCAATGCTTGCAGGGGCTCCTGCAGGGTCCACTCTGTGTGCTAGGAGGAACTAGGTCTCTCTACTCCCTCAGGACTCAAAGTGCTGTTCTACAGATAGACAGCGAGGCCAAGTTCAGAAACTACAGAACCAGTGTGGGTAAGATCAAACACTGTCCCGACGTGGGGAGGTGTCAGAACCTCTAATGCTGTTCTGAATGCAGTCTGATACACTTGCAGGGTTGTTTGCTCTTTAAGAGAAGGAAAGCTAGTTTGGGAGATGGGATGAGTGGCATATAGTAGATTTTGGAAATTCCCATGTATATACTTGAATATAATCAGCTCACTTTGTTACATTGTTGGCCATCAGCATTATGGATAATGAGTAGCAGGGTAAGATCCTTGGCCCATTTCCTTGGCCATCCAAGGTACTTCTGGCCAAACATCCTCATTCTTTGCTGCTATGTCATGGAGGAATTCAAATTATCCAATTGTGAAATAAGTTCAGCCCAGTAATTTGAAAGACTATCAGGGTCTGCACTCTTGTTCTCAAGTAAAATGGACTTACACACAGGAAACTTTCAGCATAGCCAGACGGGAAGGATGGGTGGGGTACACAGCTGACCCAGTCTCTGTGACTAGGGCTGGGGATAGGGTGAAAGGCTTCCTAAGAGCACTGGGGTCATATAATGTGAGGTGTCCCCAGATGCAGTAAATAAAAACCAGTATCCACGTCCTTCCATCCTTCCATGTTTTCTCAGCTATCTGAATGCCAGGTGCCTTTGGAATATTGCATCTTGTACCAAATTACTGTTTTTATCAAAAAACTTTCCATTCTTTGGAAAGCCAGCTATTTCCAAAGCACTCCAATTCTAAGCACCTTCCAGAGACCTGCTTGTGCAATCTTCCTGTTTGCTTTCCCCCTAAGCAAAGGCTTCTTGTAATGAGCCACTAAAATCAGGAACTTGGTAAATGGTCTGGTCTGTTTGATTGCTTTATAACACCATTGCTTTACTGAGTGCTAAATTAGAATTTATTTTCTTCCTGTTAAGTGGTCATTTTTTAAAGTCCTTTTTGGATTGTTCCAGCCCATGTGTGTGTGTGTGTGTGTGTGTGTGTGTGTGTGTGTGTGTGTGTGTGTGTGTGTGTGTGTGTACACGTGTGTGCGTACGTACCAAGTCTTGAACTCAGAGTCTGGATACTATTGCTTAGCTTTTTCACTCAGGACTAGCACTGTACCATTTGAGCCACATCTTTGTTTTTAACTTTTTGATAGTTAATTGGAAATAAATGTCTCCCAGACTCTCCATAACAGTCTGGCTTTGAACAGCAGTCCTCAGATCTAAACTTTCTGAATTGTTAGAATTACCTTCACCTGGCTGGTTCAGCATCTTAAGTAGTTTTCTGATGCTTACTGTAGGCACAAGGACAGACCAAGTTGTGAACAGATGTTGAGCCTAAGCTAATACCCAGGACAGTCTAAAATTTGGATTTATTTCTGCTCAGCTAGATGCTGTGCATTAAAGTCCTGAAACTAGAAATAAGAACATTGCTATCGGTGCTGGGAAGGTGGCTCAGTGGTAGAGCGCTTGCCTTGCATGCATGAGGCCCTGGGTTCGATTCCACAGCACCAAATAAGCAAAAAGAAAAAAGCCGGAAGTGGCACTGTGGCTCAATTGGTAGAGTGCTAGCCTTGAGCTGAAGAGCTGAGGGACAGCGCCCAGGCCCAGAGTCAGGCCCCACGACCGGACCCCCCCCCCAAAAAAAAAAGAACATTGCTATCCAATTCCATAACAAAGATAGTTGGTACTTCCATCTTTCAGAGTCTGATGCTCCTGAAAAAAGTGATCTGTGTTATTCTGATCAAATGATTTCCTCCCTCCCCCACAACCCGGAGGTACCCATAGTGTGCTCATTCAGCATAAAGCAGGGCAAAGAAGGGCATTTTGTAATTGACCTGGGTGTGTATTCACAAAAGGCAATATGTCAGGCATAATATAAACAAAATCTGTAAGCAACCTGTTCATGCTTTGCTTCTGAAAGAATAATTTAGCACCATCAGCTTTATATACAAATACAAGGGGAAAAATATTCCGTGCAATAATTGTGGCCCAAAGAAACTGTGTTTATTGTATCTGAACCTGTCAGGGACACTCTCAGGCTAGATATGCAGCCCAGGGTAAGGAAGGGCCAGCCAGAAAGCATGACCTGCTTTATACTGCCCTGTCTCCTTTCTTTCCCACAGGGACACATGGAAGGAGAAGTGTGGGGTCTGGCGGCTCACCCTCTCCTGCCCATCTGTGCAACCGTAAGTGACGATAAGACCCTGCGCATCTGGGAACTATCTTCCCAGCACCGTATGCTGGCAGTACGGAAGCTCAAAAAAGGTACACCTCACACCTGTGAAGGTATTTACAAACAACCATATGTGTTGGAGTCATTCATTTATTCAACTGAAAGGATCTGTGAGGCTCCCCCCAAAATATGCTCTGTCATGGGAACTCAGAGCACCCTGTGCAGTTAAAACTAATCAGGTGTAGAGTTTTCTGGAAGGTGCCTTACCCAGTGGTTTTCTGGCTCTGTTCTGCACCCAGCACTATGGTTCATTTCAATTTCCTTGTACTGCACAGACATTTGCCACCTGGGGGCAATATGTCCCTCTTCTTCTCATCACCAGTGATGAGACTCAGCAGCTTGTAAAGAATGCTGTTCGGCTTTATCACAAAGCCTCCACTACTTACTACTAAAAACTCAAGGGCTAGTTCTGATAGAAAAATGATTCGTATCATAAAATGAATAACTATATATTGAGCATCTATGTGCACTTAGGAGGGACACCAGGAGATACAAATCCTGCAAACACTTACTGTGTAGCTTCTCTGTCTGTATCAGGCATTGGGAATCTGAAGATAGACAGGTCTCACATCTTGTGTGAGAGCTGGACAGGATTTGAACAGAGTACGAGCAACAGATACCCATTCAAACTGGGTAATTTGAGAAGAATCTAAACATGGGACTCTGTGCAGGGGTGGGTAGGGTACAAGGAAAGGAGTGGGATAGTGCAGCACCGTTCAGCTAGCAGCAGCGGACTGCATGACCAGCCCCAGGCCTGAAGGGATAAGAGGTGGGAGCCATTAACAGAGCTTCGAAAGAGAGGGCTGGATGAGATGACCATTAGGTAATAGACCTCCGAAGCCAGTCTGTCTGCCTCCTGCTATGCTCCTGGAAACCAGGCAGAGGAGCCCCCAGTACTGCTCCAGGCCAGCTTCAGGCAGAAAGCTGCTGAAGGAGGGGAAGAATAAAGGATGCAAGAATGTAAACTGAGGCTGTCCCATACAGCCCAGGTGCCATGGAGGCTCCTAGCAGACCTGCTGCCCACCAGGGGCAGAATGGGTCTGCTCAAGTTCCTAAGGTTGGCAGGTGGTCCTGAGGTATTTGCATCAGTTTATAAGCAGAGAGATAAGAGATGGATCCTAGAAGAATCTAGAATAAGAACAGGTGTCAATAATAGCAACAACAGTGGGCCAGTGTTTGTACTGTACTCCACCTGCAGGCAGAAACCCAGTGAAGGTGGCCATTGTTATATTACTTGAGGATTAGGAAATTAAGGCAGAGTGTACTTAAGTAGTACAGGGTACTCAAAGTCACACAGCTAGTAAGTAATGGGGCTGAATTCAAAGTCAGGCAAGGTGGTCCCAGAGAACGTACCTTGTTGTCACTGCATGCCACCATCACCCTGCCCCTAGGTGGCCTCTGTGCCCTACATTCCAGCGCTTTGGTAAGTGGAGGAAACCACGTTAGCAATCTAGACCTGAGTCCTCAACCATGCCTGGACCACTAAGACTGACTCATTTGGGCCACTGCTTTATCTTGGGGAAATGGGACCTGGTCCTCACTGTGGAAGACGCCCGTGTCAGACAATGGACTTTATCCCCTGGGTTAAACTTTAGTTCTAAAAGAACAACTATTGACATATTTTAGATAAGATGACAGGTCAGCTCAGTTTACCCCGGTTATCCTGGTGAAATTATTAACAGAAGCCCAATCTGTACAGGAAATCATGGTTCTACTCCTGATGATTTCCTACCCTAGCCACAGCTGTGACTGACACACAGGAGGCAGATGAGTGCTGAGCAGATGATGGAATGGAGTACCAGTTAGTCGAGCAGTTTGGAGTTACTGCTGTGAGCACAGCATGTGGCATGCCATGGACAGCATCCCTATGGGAGCTCAGCTTCAGATGGCTGGTGCCAGGGTTGTGTTAGCTAAAATCTTTTTTTTTTCCTGGGTCCAGTCATGGGGCCTGAACTCTGGGCCTGGGAACTGTCCCTCAGCTCTTCAGCTCAAGGCCAGCACTCTACCACTTGAGCCACAGCACCACTTCTGGCTTTTTTCTGTTTGCTTATGTGGTGCTGAGGAATGGAATCCAGGGCCTCATGCATGCAAGGCAAGCACTCTGCCACTGAGCCACCTTCCCAGCCCCATAAAATCTTTACAGAAGCATTAGTGGCTGTGAGGATGGCATTCTGTCATGGATTGTGATGATGGTTACACAATCTAAGAAAGATTTGATTATATAACTTAATTAGGGGAATTGGATGACACATGAATTATATGTCAGTAAAGCTGTTAGGAGAAAAATGGTGTCAGAGGTGAAGATATTCTGAAGTAGGTTTCCTATTAAACATATCCCACCGCATCCATGCCCCTCATTTTGAAACATCTTCCCATGACCTCCCCATGGACAGAAGACATTCTCTTGCACAACCGCTGTCTTAGCACCAGTCAGTTTCACAGTGAAATGTCATATGCCATTCTTCCTGTAATCAACAATACCTAGAACCTTCTACCTCTGCAACTGTGCATCAAGATCCATGAAGCAGAAACAAGAGCGGCTGAAATTCAGGAAGCTTTCTAAATAAGTTTATATGTCAGGCATGATGCCTCAAATCAGTTTCTGGAGCCAAACCAGTGGTTAATACTTGTAATCCTAGCTACTCAGGAGGTTGGGATCTGAGAAGCACAGTTCAAAGCCGGCCCAGGAAGTAGAGTCTGTGAGACTCTTATCTCCAATGAATTAACAAAAAGCTGGAAGTGGAGGTGTGGCTCAAGTGGTAGAATGCCAAGCTTGAGCAGAAAATGCTAAGGGGCGGTACTTAGACCCTGTGTTCAGGCCTCAGTATGGGTATACACACACACACACACATACACACACACACACACACACGTGTGTGCGTGCAAATGAGTTTCTAGAGATGTGACTACAGAACTTCATCTTTAAATAATCCTTTTTCCTTAGCTCAGTAGAGGAGATATAAATCCTCCAGTCCTATGCCCTGGCTACCCTACCTGTCTTTAGAAAACTCAAGGGATTCAAATAGTAAGAATTGAATGGAAAAACCTTTTGAAAATTGAAAAAGATATTTGTGACATTATGGAGATTGTTTTGGATCTGAGGGGAAGCAATGTTTTAAATTAGGGAATTTAGTTCTCACACATGGAGTGATGAAGATCCAGCCCACCTGTTCCTTGGTGACGCGCCTGTGCAGTTTCTCCATGTTTCCATTCGGTTTGGGCGACGGTGAGGTCTGTGTGGTGAGTGTTCACTGTGGATTCTTTGGCAGGTGGGAGATGCTGTGCCTTCTCTCCGGATGGGAAAGCCTTAGCAGTTGGCTTGAATGATGGGAGCTTCCTGGTGGTGAATGCTGACACTGTGGAAGACATGGTCTCCTTCCATCACAGAAGAGAAATGATTTCAGATATTAAATTTTCAAAAGGTGAGGATGGCAGCAGATACTTTGAAAAGTTTCAACCTTGGAACAAAAAGAATTACAAACTAGACTATGATAACTGTTTCTTTTACCTTTTCCCCTGATTTAAAATACCAAGGTTCTGAAAGTAAATTCCCATACTGAATGTGTTGGTGTTGACTGTATGTCTGTCTTTGTAGATACAGGAAAATACCTTGCTGTGGCATCCCATGACAACTTTGTGGACATTTATAATGTGCTTACAAGCAAGAGGGTTGGCATTTGTAAAGGAGCGTCTAGCTACATCACACATATTGACTGGGACTCTCGAGGTAAGGCATGTTGTGGCCTATAAGGTATAACTTCTGTTTAGGTTTATTATTACTTTGTTGTTGTTTTGTTTTGTTTTGTTTTGCCAGTCTTGGGGCTTGAACTCAGGGCCTGGACACTGTCCCTGAGCTTCTTTTGCTCAAGGCTAGCATCCTACCACTTGAGCACAGCACCACTTCTGCCTATTTCTGTTTATGTGAGACTGAGGAATCAATCCCAGGGCTTCATGCACGCTAGGCAAGCACTCTACCACTAAGCCACATTCCCAGCCATTAGGTTTATTTTTAAGTCAATGTCTATTCATGTATTGTTTCTAAAGAGAATGACCCTTGAGTTTCAAAGGACAAGGGAGATACAATAGCTGCAACTTTACAGCCCAGAAGTAGCTTGTGTTATCTCAAATACTCTCCCATGTATGTGTGTGTATGCGTGCGTGCGTGTATGTGTGTGTGTGTGTGTGTGTGTGTGTGTACGTGTGTCTTGCAGCTTGAACTCAGGGCCTAGATGCTATTCTTGAACTTTTCCACTCAAAGTTAGCATTCTACCACTTGAGCCACACCTCCACCTCCAGCTTTTTGGTGGTTAATTGGAGCCAAGAATCTCATGGACTTTGCGGCTTCAGCTGGCTTTGAACCATGTTCCTCAGCTCCTCAGTCTCTTGAGGAGCTAGGACTACAAGCATGAACCACTGGCACCCAGCTTCATCTTTTAAAAATTATCGTTACTCTTCACTAATAATTCAAGCCACTGAGTTTGCAGAGCATTGAAGATGCATGGTGCCTTCTGTCACCATGCAAATTTACCCTTGGTTCTGGTCTCTTCTTCCTTTCTGCTTCCCAAAACTTCCCCTCTTAGAGGATAGTCTGGAAGTCTCCAGCAACTTTCATCTGTCAGTGGAGACAGAAAGCCATGTTTAGATTGCTGACCTAACTTTGCTTTTCTAAACTTGCAGCCTGGCCTTGCTCATTTCCCACAATACCATGAAGACTTGTCGACTTATTTAATACATCTATCTTCTACCGTTTATAAAGTCAGAAGCCAGAAAATGTGGAGAATCTGGACATGAGACATGGCTCCTACTCTTGAGAAGTTCTAATTTAATGCATGAGGCATGTGCCTGTTGAAATAATACAGGAGCACAGCACTGGGTGGGGCATGGGAGTGAGAAGTGGTGAGTCATAGAGGAAGTGGGAGGCAGGGCCAAGACAGCCTTGGTGTGCAGGGGAAGTGCCATAGGCTGGCTCACTTCGAGATCCTATCCCAGACACTTGGCTGATGGTTAGAGGCTGGTACAGGCATTAGGAATCGGTAGACTGTAGCTTTTGTAGTGGTATTAGTGTGTGCTATGAGGAGAGAGGTCCTATGGCAAACCCTGGGGCCTCCATACCAGGTGACCTTGGGAATAACCAGAAACTCACCAGTTAAGGAAGTCAAGGAAGAGAATTCCAGGCAAAGGGGAACATAGTATACCAAACTATGTAGTTGGGAAGACCAGAGAGTGGTTAAGACATGAGTTATACTGAGTGGCCAGCGAGGTGAAGAGAGGGGCGAGAATGTGGAAAGGCAGCCAACGGGGACTCTGACATCATGAACTTTATTCTGGAGGCACTGGGTGACTCAAATGATTCTGAATGGAGTATTCAGTATTCCCCACCCTCTTGGGGAGAGGAAGTGAACTAGGAGTTGGAAAGCAACTAATACAAATAGCGAAAGAGGTGATGAGGGTCTTAGCCAAGAATTGCTTACCGCAAAGACACCAGAACGCTTCATTTCACATATTTCAGCTCAGGGTGTGTTGAGGAACACCTAAAATCTCTACCACTTGGAAGGCAGAGGTAGGAGGATTTTGAGTTGAAGTCAGTCAAGGCAAAGTTAATAAGATTTTGCCTCAAAAACAACATAAAGGGGAATGGGTTAGGGTATAGCTAAAGTGATAGAGCATATACCTAGCAAGACCTTGGGTTCAATCCTCAGTAGAGGAAGGAGGAGGAGGAAGAAGAGGAGGAAGAGGGGGAGGAAGAACAGGAGGGAGAGGAGGAGAAGGAAAAGGAGGGTGGAGGAGGAAAGGAGAGGATTAAAACTACTTTGTTCAACTACTTAAAGATAATAAGAAAACAACAGAAAATAAAAAAGAGAAATGGGAGGGGAAGTGGGGAGGGGAAAGGAGAGGAAGGGAGGGATGAGGAGAGAAGACAGGAGGGGTTAGTTATAGACTGGGCCTGTTGATCCTCTGCCAGGCAGGTTTGTGGTTGTGGCTAGATGTGCTGCACTGGAATTTGGACTTTTTTTCAGCTTTACAACCTGCAGGGGTTTTATAGAGTGTGTTACAAGAGGAGGGAAACATTGGGTCCACTCCAAGAGGCCCAAGTCCTGACAAGGACAGAGGGAGATCAGATACGTCCCTCTTGCTTTCATGTCAGGGCTGTGCTAACCACACAGTGTCCAGGGCACAGGCTGGCACTTACAATCAGGGAGGACATCAGTTACCTGAGAATCATCTAGGAACTGCAGAGGCCAAGTGCGTATACCAAGAAGTGTTTGCTTCTCAGTCCTCTTCCTTAAGATTCTCTACTTTAGGGGCTGGGAAGGTGGCTCAGTGGTAGTACTTGCCTTGCAAATGAATGAGGTCCTGGGTTCAATTCCTCAACACCAAAGAGGCAGAAAAAGCCAGAAGTGGTGCTGTGGCTCAAGTGGTAGAGCGCTAACCTTAAGCTGAAGAGCTGAGGGACAGCACCCAGGCCCAGAGCTCAAGCCCCACAACAGACACACACACACACACACAAAAGGATTCTCTACTTTGTCATTGCATGGGGGCGAGGCGGGGGGGGGGGGAAGCAACAATCATTTCCCTATTTTCTTTCTAGATAGAGTAAGAAATATACCTCCCCCTTCCCTTGCAAACCACCATTCTACTTCATTTTGAGTTGACCACTCTAGGAACCTCACCTAAGTGGAATCACTTTCTTACCAGCTAATTTAGCATAATATTTTCAAGTTCATCCATGCTATAGCATGTGTCAGAATTTCCTTTGAGGGTGGGGTGTGGGGTGAAGAATAGTCCATTGTATATATATATATATTCTACATTTTGCTTATATAATTTTCTGTTGGTGGAAATCTAAGTTGTGTCCACATTTCAGCTATTTTGAATAATGCTGCTGTGAATTCAAATGCACAAATACCTTTTTAAGATCCTGTTCTCAGCCAGGCGCTGGTGGCTCACGCCTGTAATCCTAGCTACTCAGGAGGCTGAGATCTGAGGATCACGGTTCAAAGCCAGCCCGGGCAGGAGAGACTGTGAGACTCCTATCTCCAATAAACCACCAGAAAACCGGAAGTGGCGCTGTAGCTCAAGTGGTAGAGC